GGCCACAGTCCCTCTGCTTCTGGAGGCTGCTCAGTGCAGGTGCTGAATCAGATCCTCCTCCACGCTGTGGCTGGTGAGACGTGCCAGCTGGCTCCGAATTTCCTAGTGCAGCAGGGCTACGGGCACTTCTCACTCCTTAACTGAAGGCTCCTCTTCACGATGAGCACACCCAGAGCATATCATCCCACAGCCTCCCTCTTGGAAACGCTGAAATCTGTTTTAATCTGCTGCTGGCAATCCATTTAATAGCTTTTATAACTAGTTTCAAGAAGGGCTAAGAGTTTATCATGAAGATATTACAAAACATGGATAGACAGACCCTGACCTAACCAAGGCTTGTCTAAGTTTCACTCACCACTGAAAGACCCCACAATCTGCTTGTTACTCAAAGTTTTAGAATTTCAGTTTTGAGCAATTCCCTTTTCACTCCCCCATACTCAAAAAGAAAAAAATATATAAATACACCACAGTTTTGATGAAACCAAAATGTTTCATTTTTTTCTAAAATATTTCCACAAATGAGAAACAACTGCAACTTCTCATCTGCCCTTACTAGTAGTATTAACAAAACACTTGACTTCTCACAGCTAATACAGACCTCAAGAGCCTCGGGGACACTCTAAATCAGGTTGTACAGATTACAAATAGCCCTGCATTAGAGTGGTGCAAAGCTATTTTTATTCCAGGAGTTGTGCCAGAGATTACACCTCTGCAGACACAGTTTTTTTTTTTCAATTAAATTATACTAGCACAAAACTGGAGCAATGTGCTGCTTTTTGTATGCAAAGCCCTTGCTTCTCATCCTTCAGACCTACATACAATACCAGCAATCTGATTCATGCGAGATTTGATGTGGGAAATTAAGTGCACCAGCTGCAGCAGTTTAGTAGCTTTTACTCACAGACTGGTTTCTGGAAGGAGGTAAAGTGTCTGCCTACGTCAGGAGGCATCCCAAGGAGAGGAGCCTAAACTCGTAGGGCTTCACTGAAGCCTATGGCTCAGTGCCAGCTTGCACAAATTTCTGACATGGTCTTTGGACTCCTGAATCCAACCCTTTACATTTTATGTTAGCAAAAGACCTGCTTGCAGCAATGAGACTTTGCAAAGGAACAAATGATCTCTTTGAGAATGGACTGAGGGGGCTTGTTCAAGCCATATTGATTGCTTTGCAGCTGCCAATACAGGGCAGTTTCATCTTGTTTGTCCAAGAGCCTTTGTGTTCACATTTCATTGCTGGAATCAGACAAAAGCTGAACATCTTTTTGAATTCATTCTGGTAGCTAAGGAGTAGCTCCTGAGCTGCAAGGAGGAATGTGCCATCAGATTCTGTGGCCTAGTTTGGAGACCCAATGCAAAGAATAAACAGAGCTAATGAATCTGCTAATTAAGCATTCATTGATAGAGTTCAGATGGAAGAAGCGGCTGGCAGTTTCCTCTAGCTCTTGCAATCAAGAGGCAGAACAAACTCAAAGTGAGTAATTTAATGTTACTGTGTGCAGCAAAACAGAACTGGTGTAAGTGATGATAAAATAATGAAAGCTGCTCAGGCGCTTCCTATGTTTGGCACAAACAAAGCAAATAGCAGCTCAAAGGAAAGAGATTAAATACTTATTAGCATTTCTTCTGTGTTTTCCAGATAGTATACCTCAATCCTTGCAGATAAAACTCCCCATGGACTTTCACAATTTGTATTAGTGTTGTCTCATATTGAAAGGGCTGTTTGGAATATAGAATGCAAAAACATCAATGAAAATAATTGCCAAACCTCAAAGAAAAGTCTTGGTTTTCCTTTTTTTGCCTCAGAAGTTTTAAAGAAAGAAATAGCTATGAATCCCAAAAGCATTGTCAGGAAACTCTGAAGTCCGTAACCACATTTTTCTCAGATGGAGTCCTCCAAGGGTTTCAGTGAGAATTTCCAGGTTCAGTTTTTGCTACATACCTTTCTGGTGAGATCAATACGAGGACCTATAGGGCATGCTTTACTGCATTCCCATAGTAATAAAGCACTGGCACAAAAAGGCACTGCTACAATGGACCTGTTCCAGCTCTTGCCTTGAGTAGATGAAGATTTCCTGCCTCCTTCAGAACTGCTCTTTTCAGTCTTCCCCTTGTAAGAAAAATGTGAAGATCTCAGAGAGAGACGTCGGGGAGGCTCCTCTGAGGCCCATGACCCACTGTGGGACTGAAGCTGAGCTGCCACATTGTGCTCAGTGCAGACTGAAAGGTGCCTTCCTTGTGAAAATGCCACTGCTAGACTGGGTACCTTAGGCACACAGCATTGCAGAGAGAAATACACTAAGAGAAATTTATTGTCATGTTGCTTGCTTTTGCCTATGCAGCACTAGTATATGACTGTATACGGCTGTGTCTTTTTAAAGTCATGTCATTACTGTCATTTCTGTACCATTCAGCACAAAAACTGCCATCTAACAGGCTGGGCACACTCAAGGGTGTTTTCCTGGGCTGAATGTGGCCTTGGGATCATTCTGTCAAAGTCTGCTTTAGATTAAACCATTAAACTCACCTAATTATAACAGCAAGTGAGCAGCTTCAGCAGACTGAAAGGGAAGAAATGCTAATCTGCTGGGTGAGTCAGCTCATCTCTACTGACCGCCCGCATGCTTTTATTTTTTTTTTTAATGCAGTCTTAAACATGGATGGGGTGAATGACACAGACCGTTGCATTCTAATTGAAAGCCAATCTTTATCTTGTGTTTCTGATTGCTAATACTTCAAAGATTTTTCCTAACAATAAAATATCAAAGGGCTAGATTACATTCTGCATTATGGCAAAAAAGCAACTGAAAGGAGACAAAGGGAATGGGGAAACCAGAGTCAGCATTATCCTCTACCTGGAAATATGAACTTCCAAGGTAAAATGTCCCGATTTCTTTCCTTACAACAAATCCTCATCCTTACCTCTAAGTCAGCGCTGCAGGCACACTTTCCCATCTTCCTGCCGCACACTGCTGGCAAAGACAAATGTGTGTTCCATTGCTTTCCCTCTCTAAAAATGTATGAGAAAGAACATTAACAGTCCACAATTACAAAATTTAATTCCTAGGGATATGAAGTAGTAGTATTTTGGAAGTTGAGATACAGTAATTTATTAATCTATAAATACATGGCATAGTAATAGATATCATTAATAATTAAATCATATGATCAAATTGAGTGTAAAGGAGACTTGTCCATTAGTATCAACAAGATATGCCAGTTTGCATTAGCTGAGTAACCCATAACAATTTGTATTTAGAAGCTCCCTGAATCTCTCACCACGACCACTATTAATCTTGCCATTTGCTTTAATTCCTTGTAGCTCATTGCTTCCTTGGGTGCTCTGCAAACTCTCTCTTCAGGGCAAGAAGTTAAAACCAGCCTCTTAGCTAAAGTTTAAATTTACCGGCATATAAACCACATATGGGCTTGTGTATTTTTGTGTATTCAGTTTCTGGGGGGAAAAAAAATACTGCTCTAACATGCACAAGTGCAACTGCTACTTAAAGCCATGAATTTTGAACAAAATTTTGAGAACTCACATCTTCAGGGTTCTGAACACAGAGCAGTTCCACTGGTCTTAATGAGGGTACTTTAGATTTACAAAGTAAAATATTTCACCAGCTCTCCTGTGATGTAGTGACATATAAGCCTGTATTGGCTCTTTTTACAGGACTCACTCTGTGAGTCTAGATGAGGAGACTGCAGCTTTGAACTTCTCATAGGCCACCGCCCTTCACAGCTCAAAAGCCCTGTAGGATATATGCTGATATTCAAGAACCCCCAAACCTATGAAAGCGACACCATAAAATAGGTCACGTTCTGCCTTTGAGACCACTATAAGCTGGTGAGAAGCAGTGAAACCCAGCTCCATCCTTACTAAATGATTTGCATTGAGCAAGCATGCTTTTGTGCCAATAATACCAAGTATCACTACAAACAGAGATAAGTTTACCAATCCTGGTAACTATTTTCCCTTTCTTTGGGAAGCAAGTAAGCATTTTTGCAACATCATTCCCTAATATATGCTACCAAACCCTGTAGTCCACTTTTTTTTTCTCCTTTCTCAAGCAAAGGTCTGAAGAGTTTTGTGATTAAAATTAGCCCCTCTGATTAAAATTACCTCCTTTTTGGAGCATTCAACAAATTCCATACTCAGTATATTCCTATTTACAACTGATATGCCCCTGCTGTATAAATACTACCCAGTTTTAACCAACAAATGCCCAGTGCCCTGCTCAGCAGTAGTTTTAACCAACAAACGCCCAGTGCCCCGCTCTGCAGCAGTGGCGGGGCGGCTGTGCAGCTCTAGTCTCCTCGTCAGCCAGGTAACCAGACAAACGCCCGGTCCCCCCGGCCGGGGCTCCGCGGAGCTGCCTCTAGAGCGAGGAGCACAGAGCGGCGCTCCCTGCTAACGGATCTTGCTGCGGCACCAACGCCCACCCCACTTTTGTTTTTTTTTAACTCTTCCTTCGTACAACTACCTGCTCATTAGCAGCCGCCCCCACGGAGGCCCGTGGCGAGGCC